TCCTTTATTAAGCTAAGAAAATCAAATATTCATAATGTCAACTTGGTAAGTGAAACATTCAGCCCATTCTGAAAAAATGTTAAAATGCTGCCTCTGTCATTTCTCTTCAAAACACTGCTTTTGGATGAAAAACATAATAAAGGTGGCTTGTTCCCAACCCACTCTCTGCTCACATAAATCTTTGCTCTCCTAGTTTGTCAATTTAAAGTAGTGCTGTAGAAGAATAGGCTTCAACAAGTGTTTCTCAGTCCATCTCTTTTTATAATAGTGCATTGCAAAGAGCACAAGGCAGAGGTTTTTAAACATTACCTTCATAGAGCACTTCATAGTCAGTGGGAACACAGCTGTATCCTTGGATCAAACCAGGAAGGCAATCCTTACAGAAGGAATGGAGGCAGGGGAGCATTCTGGGCTCCCTCCTCCGCAGCTCCCATTTGCACACCAAACAATTCCACAACAGATCCAGGGTCTCCATTCCTGCTGGCTGAAGCCAGGCCCTGTAAACATGAAGAGTCACAAAATGGCTCATGACAAGCCCTGCACTTCACAAAACACTCGATCACTCAAGTGCCAGCCAGAGGGCAAACACGGGATGCACCATCAAATAAACATTTCATGTAGTCCCTGTGGAAAAAAAAAGTTCCTTGCAGCTGAAAATCACCTACCTGCTACACAGAGGAGAATATCTTTGCAGATTGCTGTGCAGGAAAGCGTGGTTTAAGGTTTACAAACCATGATCCCACTATCTCTCTAGTATTTGCAACTTCTGTAAAAACTGAACTAATCTGTTCTATCGATCTACTTACAAAGCTGAATTGTCACACGCTGTACATTTCCTGCAAGAAGCACTGACACTGTGCTATTAAAATTATGAGATTCTCTGGCTGCTTTTGCTCAAATACTTTACAGTTTTCAGGTAAAGAAAATAATACCCATAAGTCCATCATTTCACCAATGCATGTTAGAAAGCTGCTTTGAAAAATGTACAGCATCTTCTGACAATCTTTTTTATAGAAAAAGCACTTTGCAGTAATCAAATTTTAGCTATCAAGATGACCACAGATCAGATTATCAGACCAAACCTGAGCTTCCCAGTGTTCCTCCCACCAGCCTAAGCTCCCCAAGGTCAACTGAGAGTTTTGCAGTTCATGTTTCATCCTCACTTCTGAGATTGTCAGAGATGTTGATCAGATACAGACTGCAAAGGGTAACTCCTGCAAGTTGTGTCAGAGGAGAAAAAGCAGATAAAGCCTCATTTCCTCTGGAGCCACTCTTCCAGCTGATCCAACCTCCTGGGACCAGAGTCCCACGTAGCTGCTGACTGCCCTAGCATGGTGGCCTTGCTACCAGCAGGATGGAATTGAAGCTACAGGAATTAGCCTAATTTTCCAGATTTCTCCAGCACAGAAGAGCAGCAGCTCTAATCTTAGGGCTATCTCTTCTCCTGAGGGAGTCTGTCTTCTGGTAGATTGCAGTGTAAATGGTTAGTAAGCAGATCCAGGTTTGGGTTTTTACTCTGCAATGCAATGCAATGCAATGCAATGCAATGCAAAAAAAAAAAAAAAAAAAAATTACCAACTAGTAGCTTTTTTAAACATTGTGTCCTGAAGTCATCAGTATTTAAAATATTTTAGAAGAAAAATGGAGCCTATCTTAAAGTCTGCGTCCTATTTCATACCCAAGACCCATTCAACTAGGTAGATACCCACCAACTTGACTAACAAATTACTTAGATAAATTAAAACCTACCACTAAAACTCCAGATTCCAATTCCAAAACCAGAGGTCCCTTTAGAAATGAGGTGTGCCAGCTGTACCTGTGGTTCAATTAACATTTTATCAGTGCCTATTACACAAACTCACTTTTTACAGTGCATCTTCATCAACCATCTATCAGGGGCAAATGTCACTAAAGCAGCACAGGCTCTCAGCTCACTTTCATCTCTGTCATTTCTTGCAGCTCCTGTTGCTAAGACAAAGTTGCACCTACAAAAACATGTAATATCTGCAGTAGGAAGCTGAGGTCTGAAACTACCACATTGTTGACACAGAGAAACCACAGCCCAAAGCATCCATGCACAGAGAAGCAGCCCAATACTGGGAAATGCTCTGTCACCTTAAAAGCCAAATGTGGGGCTGGGCAAGCAGAAGCAAATACTGTAAATTTCAATGTATGCCTTTTGAACAACATGCAAAACTGAGTAGAATTTTTTTGGTAGGAGGGGAAGAGTGAAAAAATGCTGTTGTGAGGCAGGTATGCACAGTAGTATTCAAGCAGCTGAAGAAGGAGAAGGCTGATGAATATAGCGAGCTACAAGAAGACCCAGAAAGAGAATCCAGGGAATTACAGGCCCAACCTTGGTGCTGGGGAAGGTCAGGGCACAGAACATCTCAAGAACCATCAAGTGGCACTTGTGCAACAACCAGGGCATCAGGTCAGTGTGGGTTCATGGAAGGGAGGTCCTGCCTAACCAACCTGATCTCCTCCTCTGACAATGTGACCCACTTGGTGGATGAGGGAAAGGCTGTAGCTGTGCTCTGCCGGGACTGCAGGAAAGCCTTGGACACCACTTCCCTCATTCTCCTGGAGAAACGGGCTGCCCATGGCCTGGAGGGGTGCACTGGTCACTGGATAACTGCCTGGATGCCTGGGGCCAGACAGTGGGCATGGAGCTCCATCCAGCATCACAAATTAGGAAACAGCACCAAATGAGACAGAGTTCCCAAACTCCTGTGTATTTTGGAAGAAACTGCCCATTTATGTCATAGCTATTCACAAGCAGCAGGACCACTGGCTAAGATGAACAATTTTATAAATGGAATGCATGTCAACCTCACCCTAAAAGCCCTCCAAATTTAACTGTTGCCAAATACTAGGTTAGAAGTTGATTAACTAGGATTCTATCACACATGCTAGAAGTTAATGTGCATCAACTTCAGCAGCAAGCAAAGGCTCTTGGTCTTGACACTTGACAACCAGCTCACTGGCTTTATTTGTTATTTTTACTATTAGATCCTGCTTTGACATGCAGGCCAGGCCTTGCAGACACCAGAAGTCCTAATTTGGTGTTACAACCAAGCAAGGATCGTTTCAGGTGGTCATTTTAAACCCAACATATCAGCACTGCACACAGAGCAGTTCCAGAGCTGTGCCATTGCTTTGCCAGCTGTAAGGAAGTGGAGGATAGCTGGCACCAGCTGTGTCCCACAGGTGGGAACTGCAGGAATTGCATGCCCAGCCTGGGAGGGCAGAGATTGCAAATGTCATTTAGTTACTGGTACACTGCTGTCCACTTGGCATTTCTTTGTCCACACTCCTGCTGTTCCATTCCCACAGGCCACAGAACCATCTCCAGAAACTTCCCCTGGATGTCATTTTAGTGCTTAAGAATCCCCATTAAAAGCACATCAAGTCCTCTTTTCAGACAGCTGTAGAAAGGATCAGTAACAAGACCACCACAAATACAGAACTTCATTTCCCCACTCTATAAAGACAAAATGAGGTATCTGCACATGGCAGGTACTGAACACTGTAGTCATGCAATTTCAAAATGAAGTGAGAACCAGTAAAACCACTGATCAAATATTATGCAGTAAGATTTAAGTGTCAACGGTGTCTGGAGAAATCCCGAAAGAAAAATCAGAACAAGCCAAACTTCTGTATACCAGCTCATTCTATGCATTGTTTATTCAAAAAACTTGAATAAAACAAAAACTTTTATGCCACAAGTACACAGGCACCACCAACTTCTTTGATCTTCTCCTCTGCTCTTCTACTGAAGAACTTTGCTTTCACAATGACAGGCTGCTTGGGCAGCTTCCCTTTGCCCAGCACTTTGTAGTAGCCCTAGAAAGATTTAGAAAAGAAGTTCAGTGCTTGTAATCAGCTTACAGGCTCATACATTCAGGCCTGTTAGCACACACACCAGTTAAAAACAACCAGGACCTCATCCAGTCAACTCATTACATTAAAAGAACAATCATGACATGAAGACAATTAAAAACACAGCTGAAGTCACTGAGGTGAGAAGTGGGCCCCAAGTGGCCAACAGAGGTGTTTGATGGGAGGCAGAGCAGTGTCCCTGATTCGGTGGCTGGCTGAGACACAGGACATCAGAGCCAGTGAATATGGATCAGATGTTTCTGTCCGAGAACTATAGCACACCAAGACAACCAAACATGTGGAGATGTGACTCTAGTCTCGAGGGTGACACGGTGTGAGACCGGTTCCAGCAGGGTTTTGTTCCTTCAGGAACATTTCAAACCAGCCATCTTTCACCATCTACCCAAAGGAGGGCAGTGCCTGTCCACAAACACACACCAGTAGGACAAAAAGTCCTCACAGGGAAAAATGTAACACCCAAAGTGCTCCACTAACTACTCACAGCCCCGGGTGAGGCTGGTGAGCCTCTGAGCACTGGAGCTCATTTGCAGCTGAGCACCTCCCCCGTGGGACAGGCACAGCTCAGGCACTCGGGGAGGGCAGGAATGCCAGGGCTGAGTCCCAGCAGGAACTCACCGAGCGCACGACGTCAATGACCGGGGCCAGGCCGGCCTCGTTCTTGGCGTAGTTGAGCCTTGTCTGCTCACTGACCAGCGTCCACAGCTTGTCCAAGTTGACAGTGGGACAGAACTTCTGGTTTCTCTTCAAGTGATAGTGCCTCATGCCTACTTTCCCAAAGTAGCCAGGGTGACTGTGGGAGAAACACACTCCACATTAAGATCACACTTTTAATTCATTCTGAACTAATATTGACACAAGCAACTCACAAAATCAGAGTATGCAGAATGTCACATTACACCATTTTTCATATTAGTATGTGTAGAACTTAGGTGCAATAATGATTAGTACCCACACCAAGGAACAATTGCATTGTCTCTAAGTGTTCCTTCTCCATCAAACTCACACCTCAATCTCCCTGCCTGCTGAGTCTTTATTTCCAGGGAAGCCCTACCTCCAGGGACCCAGGGCGAGCTGCCCTGCCTGGGAAGCTCTGGCACTGCTGTCACTAACCCGGTGGCTGACTGAGCCAGCAGGGCACAGCCAGTGAATAAAGGTCAGTGGTTCCTGTCCGAGGACTCCAGCACACCAGGACCACAGGCAGGGCCAGGTGTGACTCTACAGTCTCGGGACTCACAACATCCCTCATCTTTACCTGATGCAGCCAACAGGATGCAGTTTGGATTTAACAGCACATTCTGAATTTGCTCTGTGTGCACTGTTGAGCAGGGACCACATTTAACAGGCCCAATTTGGTCAGCTCTACACTGAACTACACTGAACTCTCCAAAATGGCACGTGAAAAGGTATTTTATTTTAGGGTAAATGGGGACACAAGCAGCGGTAACGCCACACTTCCCATTAAAGGAAAAACACATAGGATTGCAGAAAACTATGCTTATTCACGCGTAAAAGCCAGTTGCTTCTACTTCAGGGGCATGCATGTTGCTAGTAGGTATTTAAAACGTTAGCTTACTATTTATCGAAGTTAATCCTGTGATGGTGCAAACCACCGGCATTACCACGTCCTCCAGGATGCTTCCTGTGTTTGCCTAAGAAAAGAATTGTAAGCTTGTTGCATTAATATTACACACAATACTTAAGAGATACTTTCAATGTCAACTTGAACTGTTTTATCTTGCGGTGTGACAAGGTTGGAACGGATAGAGCGGAAAGGGAGACTGCACTCCCTGTAAGTTTAAGATGCCGCATACCCAGTAGCGATGAGCTGAGGTTACAAATGCACGGAGTCTAAAACGTGCAGGACGCCATCAGCCCATCACCGCGGCAGCTCCCCCGCACACCATTCCCACGGTGCCGGCGGGCCCTGCACCCCCAGCCCCATTTCTATGGGATCGGGAAGAGCAGCAGCATCCCCATTTCTACGGGATCGGGAAGAGCAGCAGCATCCCCATTTCTACGGGATCGGGGAGAGCAGCAGCATCCCCATTTCTATGGGATCGGGAAGAGCAGCAGCATCCCCATTTCTACGGGATCGGGGAGAGCAGCAGCATCCCCTTAGCGCCGGGGATCCCAGCGCACCCGCGGCCGCCGCTGCACTCACCCACGCGGCCGTGGCCGTGGCTGACGTGTCCTCTCAGCTTCCGGGTCTTCCTCAGCCTGGAGGGCTGCGGGGAAGGGGCACCGCGGCCGTGAGCGAGGCGAGCCCCGAGCGCCACGGGAGCCCCGCGCCCGCCCCGCGGCCCGGCGCCATGGCGGCCCGGCCTCCCCGCACCGCGCCCGCCCGCCGCCGCCTCGGACCGCGCCTCCCCCCCACCCTCCGCTACTCCGCAGCCCCGTCCCGCCGCGGGAGCGAGCGGCGGCGGCCGCGGGCTCCCGGTCCCGTCCCGGGCCCGTCCCACCCCATCCCGCCGGCCCGGGCGCCGCTCCCACCATGGTGCCGGCGTGCGCGGGGAGAGAAAGGGCGCGGCTCTCGCGAGAGCGGGCCAAGGCGCGCGGGGCGGGGCCGAGATCTCGCGAGGCTTCGCCGTGAGGGCCGCGCCCCGCCCAGAGCCGGCGCCGCCCCCCGGCTGCTGCCGGGGCGGGAAAGCCGCGCTCGTCACTTTATTAAACATCCAGAAGAGTGGGAAAATGAACACCGCGTCGTTAAACACAATTACTTGCCACACTGGAGTGTGAATTCCTGGACTAGGTTTTTTTTAATGGATTTTATACGATTAAGATTTTAAACAAAACCAATTTTAAACACAGGCCTCAGCACTGAATTTATTTTTCTTTAGAATCTTCATGGCGCACTTACAATGTTCCCTTGCTCAGGAACACCATTAGTTTTAACAACTAATTTAGTAGGGAAGACAATGCACTCCTTGGTGTTTGTTCGTCTGATCCCTTCAAACACAGACCTCCAGGTAACACAAAGATTGTTTTACACAGCTCTAGTCTGAGGATCAAAAAGGCACCTGCAGATTTTTTTGGCCATGATCTCACCTTGCCCAGTGGTATCCCCTGATTTACATTACAAAAATGGGAACACGTTGACAGATAACACAATGTTTAAAAAGCTTTCTCCTTTAATTTTTAAAGTGCAAATGGAGCAAAACAGCTTTGGCGCAGGAGATGGGGTTTACAGCACAACATTCTTGTACATCGGCATTCCGTGGCTTTGTCTTGCCTTTGCAGTAACTCCACAGCGTGTCCTGACACAGTTTTATCCATCGGTTTCTTAAGAGGAATCATGTATTTCCCCCTACATTTACTAGCAGCTGTTGTTTATAAAAAGGCCAGAAGCCACCTGTACGAGTGACGTTACTCCTTCCACTCTCAAGAATTCCATCGAGGAATCGTTCTGGAACTTGGAGTGTATCACAGAGTAAAACTAATGGGAGTTACCAGTTGTGGTGACATTTCCTCTGAAGCAAAAGCACCCGGTATTTTACAGACATTTCACATACATTTCAGAAGCTTTTGTGGATTTTGGAGTGTGAGGGAGGTAACTGAAAAAGGAAACGGCTTCACCTTTTCAGTGAATGGTCCCTCGAATTTGCTCTATGAGGCTGATAGCAAACCAGAACCACGGTCAGGTTAGGAACTGCGCAAGCCTCAAAGCCCATCTGACTACAGCAGTCATGCTGAGAATGACAGAGTGTGGTGCGTGTCCCTAAAAGGTAAGAGGCTTTAGCTAATTTTCATTATCTGCCAGACCTAGAACATATTGAAGCATTTTATATATTTTTGAAGTATTTTCTTCTTCAGACTATGGGAAAACTTCTACAATCTCAACAGGAGTTGTTTCCAGATCAAGGAAAAATGTGACACTTGAGCACCACACACAGCACAAACAGAAGATACCATAGGTCAGGAGCAGTATATGTGATACAACGATAAAATCATTTGCTGCTAACCCATGAAAAAATGTTTTAACCGATGCTTGTGTTAGGATAAAATTTTTTTAAAAGAGCTATAAAATGCCTTGTCTTAGCCCTGGTGAAAAACACTGAAGAAACCCCAAACTATGTGACGTGAAATAGCAAACCTACCAAAAGACAGGTTCGTAAAAACCACTTTACATTTTAATTACAAATTCATTTAAAAATCACAGGTGAGTTGTTGTGTTTGTACCTGCTCCACATGAGGAAGTGCAGAGGTTTGCAATGAATATAAACAAGCAGGTCTATTTACAGAGTTTATTAGGATCCATACACACATACATTAGGAAAGGCTGTACTGTACCTACTCGCTGCAGCTTGCATGTCAGAGAGCTGAGATCTCCCCGGGCTTAGCAGTCTTAGTGCAGAGTGGGTTATAAGGAGTTTACTGACCAGAGTTCAAACCAAGTGCAGGTTCTGTAATGTGAACCAAGTACCTTATTATCAAGTCACTTTGTTATTTCTCCTTTAAAATCAGTTCGAAGGAAACAGACAGACAGACAAGTGCCTGTGCCGCACGAGAGCAGCCCCGTGCGTACAACCTCTCCCACGTACCCGAGCTCATTCACCCCGCCGTGTTCAGGCATCAAACATCCCTTGAAGTCAGTGGTTCTGCTGAGACAGTCAGCTGCACAAAATCAGCTACTCGTTTTTGCACCAAGCATAACTCAACTCACACTAAAGAAAAAAAACAAGCACCTGGTATTCTCAGGAATATACAAATATTTACCACAGTTTTCTCGCTCATTACAAAATCAGTTACAAAAGCTTACAGCACATTATGTACAAACTCTGCCCAAAACCACGGAGGAGCCGCCCCGTGGCACACTGACACAGCATCCATGGCTCATGGCCTGGAGCCGCCTCAGCTCGCTGCGCTCTCCTCCCGCCCCGCACTCCCAACGCCGCAGGTGTCTCACGCAGTGCCACAAACAGGTTTTGGGTCGGTGTTTCAGCAGGAAGGAGCTAGTTCTTCTTGTGAAGGAACTTCATTTTGTTACCTAAAGGAAGCACACCGTCAGTCTCAAGCAGAGAGCAGAAGCCAATCCAAAGTGACAGCAAATGGTCTAACTTGCAATCGGCACCAGCAGGGAGAGCCGAGTTACACAGCACCGACTGCTCCAACCCCTTCCTGTTCCGCTCCTCGATTA